TATGCAATATGAGCAGCTCCAATTTTCACATTTGTGAGCTGAGAGACCAGGTTGTTGCTCTTCAGCTCAAAGTAAGCACTAGATAAGAGAAAACCACATCAAGATACACAACAGGTAGTGGCCATCAAAATGGTTAATGTGGATTAACCATCCGAAAGATTCAGACTTCAAGATTTGGACCGTGCTAAGTTTAAAATATTAGACACTTGACACCAAAATAACTTTACTGTGGGAACCTATTAAACCTCTACCAGTAGATGAGAAACTCCAAGACAACCTCAGACAACCCCAGAGCAGAGAAACAGAGAAGAGAACAAGACATGAGCTAAGAGAAAGTCCCCACATAGGAGTTTTCACAGAATCACAGATTTTCTGTGGGAAATCCAGCAGCTGGCACTGTGAGAAGCAAACACACTGCACCTGGGGGCAAAAATCAATTTTTTTTCCCCCCCAAGGAAGCGGCACTTCCCTAAGAAGCCCTGGTTAACTCGAACCAGACAAGTTAACATGAATTACTGTCACTTTACATGAATAAATGACAAACCGAGGTCAGAGCTCCGGGTATCTTGAGTCATTTGAGCAATTCCTCATGTGTTGCCAGTGCAATAGCAAAAGCTCTAATTCACCTCTGGTTTCAACCTCAAAGTTGCCTTTTGCAAAGAGGCCGATCCAAAACTCCATCAGCCAGGACCACCCTACAAATCCAGAATCCAGACTTGTTTAGGAATGAGTCTGAAAGCACCCGAAGCTCCCGCTGGCTCCGTTTGCACCTTGACTTTCCGCGTGCCGATCCCGCTTCCCGGTGATTTATTCCAGCCCATTTCCTCGGGCGCTTGCACAGGAGCCTCGGTGTTTAATCGCAGCGTGTCTCGCGCCGCTTAATGCTTCCCCGGGGGGAACAATTTACCCACAGGCTTCCAAGCAGCTGATGGCACCAATATGAAGATAGGTATTTACGGCACCGCGCTTGCTAACAGACACTGTGGGGAAAAGGCTTAGTTAACACTGACTGATCTTCCAGATGCTTGAAGGGGCTGGCGGGACTTCCTCACCTTTGCTCCAACGGGCTGTGAGGGTTGAACGTTGCCTATGGGCAATGGCCCCTCAAACTGTCCTGTCTACGCTTATTCCACCCGTCATCCAGGTTTTGTAGCAGGAAAATGTGTTACAAGGTGCCCATCCTCGGCACCGTCTCCAGATCTTCAAGCAAGCCCCATGTCTCCAGAACTACTGCTAGCCTTTGGAAATGGTGGAAAACGCTCTAGCTGAAAGGAGATGTGAGGTCTCTGGATGCTGCCCTGGGGTGATCGTGTCCCAAAACTCCTCATGTCCATGGTTGTCCAGCATTTCCCAGATCAGGATGTAAGAATGGGTGAAGGTGCTGGAAATCCAAGTTCTCACCAGCTGCCTCCTAGAAATGACCGATATTGAGGATTGATATCCTCCATAATGAAGCAGAGATTTGTACAGGAACTGTCTCCTCTCCAAACAGGTGGAGGAGCTTCACCACCTTCCACCTATGCTCCTCAAAAGGGAATATGCGGATGCAACATTAAAACATTCCCACTTATTGTCTACTCCTTTTGCAACCAGAACAGGCCAGCCCTGCACAACGGCCAGCATCGTCCTCATTAAAAGCCCACAAGGAAGGGTCCGTGGCAAGCGGGTCAGAGTCACAACCCACGACATGAGCAAAGGTTGATCTTTTCCACTCGCGTGTCCTGGAAGCAAGAGCAGGAAGTGCTTCAGGCAAGGAATTGCAATAAATTATAGATTATAACAGGTATTTTTCACGAAAGCAAGAGGAAAAGGTGGTGGGAGGGAGAGCCAGGCGCCAATCCAGGGCCAACACCGACGCCAAAGACCCCAATGTCTAATTACGGGGCGTCCTCTTTGGAATTCAGCCTTCGAGGGGGCCCCTTCGCCTTCCTTGCCTGGGCTTCTCCACCGCTTCTCCAACTCGGCAAGGCAGAATGAGGCAAGATTTACTCCTGTCCTAAATTATTCAGAGCGAAAAGGGACGGTGCATCTTTAACAAGCCATCGTTTTATGAAGCAAGGTTAACATTTTTACTTGATTCAGGAGAATATTATAAACTCTCCGGGGTCCATTTGAGGACTTTCTACTTTGCGCAAAGGAGCGGACTCAGCACTTTTTCTATTATTTAGAGAATAAAATTAACCCTTAATGGCCCACGCTGGTATGTCTCCTCCCCAGCTAAATATGGCCCGCTCAGCAATTTCTCCCCATATATAATTACAGGCTGCTATCCATCATCTGTAGGAGAATGCTTTTCTGACACTCCAAAAGCGACGCAGTAAGCACTTTTGCTAATAGAATAAATATTCTAAATATCTCTTTTATATTTTCATTTAAATTGGAATATTTTAAAATAATTGTAGGGACACAGCCGGCGCGGCCAGGGCTGGAGGGAGCTGGCGGGATGGCTTGTTTTTCCATCGGAGGCCAGGTTTACCCTGCCTGCTGTCTTCTCCGGATGCTGCCACGAGGAGTAATTAGGCAAAGGTTAATTTATTAGCGTGGTTATCACCTCTTGCTGACATCCTGCTCCTTACAGACGCGAACGCCGATGGCTTCAGCCCGTCCTGTCCAATCCAGCTTGGACAAGCTTGGACAAGTCTGCTTGGCTTCTCCTTCCCTCCCACCAGCTGCATTTTGGGACTGCTCCTGCCACTGAACATCCTTGTCCCCTTGGCTCTGCATCTGCCATTTGTGCCCCAGTTCTAAGGGCAGCCCAGGAACTGGTTTTATTGACCTCATTTATTCGCTTTTTATTGACATTTGTCAATGAGAACTACTGGAACACAATAAAGGTGGAAACGAGCCACTCTAGGCTCAGGTTTGGAGAAAGACGTAGCTCTGAGCATCCATTCAGAGGTTCATACAGGCAAAACCCCCACTGAAAAGCACCCTCAGATATGAGAAGGAGGGGAAAAGCCCCTTCAGGAGCAGCACACCTGCCTAACCATACCTAGGAAGACACTTCTTCACACGTCTTTATTAAATGCAATAAAATCAGATCATCCTACAGGCCTGCAGGGGCATATTTGGGCCGGTGCCCTACGATCTGGCAGACTTTGCATAAACAAAATTATTGTTTCATTAGCATGTCATTTTTCGTTCATTTTTGCAACCGAAGAGCTCATTTAAAGCCATGTTTGGGTGGTTGCTATCATGTCAGCACCATGGTACCCACCAGGGTGTCCACCTTTGATCCAAGGATCCTGCAGAAGCTGCTGCCTGCTCACTTGCCATTGGTATCTGACAGCAGCTGAACCCAACCACACACGTTTATCTGATGTTCTCCTCTACATAAAACCTTGTAAAAAGCTTCCTACTGATGACAGGTGAAATCTCTGGAGAGAAATGGTCAGAGAGAGGAGGATGGATCCCATCTTCTAGCTAAATCAGCCTAAGGTTTCCAAGGATGGTACAACATTGAGCAGAACATGGTTGAATGCTGGACCTAAAAGCCACCACATAACTCATTGCAGAAGAGAGCAGGCCACCAGCTCTCAATTATATCAGAAACACAAAACCTCTACGTGCCTCACTGCCCACCTTCGGCTGTTTATTCACCTTTTTGGCAAATTTACTGTCTACGTTTTCTTTCAAGACAGACAGAAAGGTCAGGAATATCCAGAAAGTACCTGGGAACCTTCTCTCCAGCAGTGGAAGATGTTCTCTGTGGGAGGCTGATGATACTACCAAGAGAACTAAAACAGCACTGGCAAAAGTCACCTCTCATGCTTTTTGTCCTCACTGATGTCCCTTCTGATGTCCCCTTTTACTATAGCCAAGTCCCAACTTAGACCACCTGGGAAGTGTCCCACAGACTTGCAACTAATTCCTATATCATGAGAGGTTGGGACATCACTTGTCTCCAGAAGTTCCCAATAAAAACCACTGGCCCAACATTAAGGAAAGAATCAAGACACTTTCAAGACAGATTTCTGCCTATTAAAAGGCATTTTTTTCCGGACAGGCTTTCACTTCATAGAAGCTGCCATGCTGCAGCACAGCCACCCCAAAGGAACCTCAGAAGATAAGGCTCCACGCACAGAGAAATCCCAAGGAATTTGGGTATTTCCAAACCTGGGTTGGCACGTGGTTAAGGTGGTTCACAGCATCTACCTGCACTTATGCCCGTCCTTCAGATCTCCATGCTGTAACAGCACTTCCCTAGGGCCATGTCAAAAACAAAATCTAAAGAGGAAATTCCTGGCCCAAGACACTTGGAGGAACAGTCTGGAGAAAGCCTAGGACTCAATCACAGTAGGTCCACATGGTAGAACAGGAGGTTACAGATCCACGCTTAGCACACAGGAAAGACTTCATGTCATACTAAGGCTACGAACTCCAGCTTACAGAGGAGAGAGAAATTCATTGCTATTTAAGGCCAAGGAAGGTCCATTCCTGGAGCACTCTGTTGCTCTTCACCACTCCATCACTGGGATAAGGAATCCTTAAAAAAGGTAGGTATATGGTATGGTAGGTATTAAATAACCCATCATGGCAAAGAACTCCTTGAAAACCAGATTTGGTCTTTCAGGATGACTACGGCGCAGTAATGACACACCAGGGAACGCTGGAGCCCTGTATCCTCGAAGATCAGGAGAAGTAGGTAGATCCATGGTCTACCTTCTCCCTTGGCTCAGTGTTATGGCCATGTGGAGGAGTAAGCCATGGAAAACACCAAGCAGTGGGGAATGTTATGGAGGCCCTGGGGTGGCTCCTACCAGGAAAACATCAGTCTGGCAACCTCAAGCATCTTTCATATGTTGCCTACTGGTCCGGCAACAAAATCCTTTGGCCCATAAACCTCTGGAAAGACACGGGGCTGGCATTCACCACATTCAACTGTTTGGCAGCTTCCAGCTCTATGGCTCCCTTTGGTGCCATAGCTCGCGTGAGGAACAGCTTGTGGGCATCCATCCCAGCCGTGGTGGGGAAATCGGCGCGCCGAGCCCCTCTTTTACCTTCTCTCCCATGGGGCAGTAGCCTTTGAGGAAATCCTGGCACACCTCGGCTTTGCGGGACACGTAGACATGGCTGTAGGGGCAGTTGCTGTTGCTGCAGATCCCCTTCAAGAAGTACGAGCACACCGGCATCTGCAAGGGCAGAGGAGAAGGAAAAACCATGAGCACGTTCCCCCGGCCGTGATCACGTAGATTAGGAGCCGCTCCAACGCCCAGGACTGAAATAAAACCATGACATGCATAAAATACATATTTTTTTTTGCCAGCCGCTGCTCCCCGTGGTATTTGTAGCTCTTCTGCTGGGCTCTTGCAACACGGCTCCCTGGTGCTGCGTGGTACCCACTGCCGTAGCATCCTCGGGGCCACGTGTGGGAAGAGCCAAAACCGCCGGCGCGGAGGAAACCGCCTCTTTATGCAGCACGGGGAAGGGAGAGGAGAGCTGTAATCAACTTATCCATCACTGGTAGGGCCTTCCCTGGATGTCCCCTGACACTGTAAAGTTGCCAAAGTGCCTGGCCGACCTTGAAGGGGTGAAAAGAGCAGAAATTCTGCTTGCAAAAGGCGTCAATCCGAGCGCGCGGCTCTGCTGCTTTGGACTGTAAGCCCCGTTTTCCCTTCCCTGCCCTTTCCCAGGCCCCGGACCCTTCATCTCTCTCTCCTCTGCCTCCTGCTGGCGCCTAAATGCTGGATTTACTTACAGCCCGCCGCGAGCATCCCCAAGGCGACGTTTACAACCGTGCACTAACCGCCGTTGGAAAGACCCTTTCCCTGAAGGGCACCCGAGGGTTTTAACTAAATCTCCCGGCCGGAGGAAAAGCAGGAAAAAAAGAGGAATGGAGCCGGGAGGGGGAAAGAAAACAAAGGGTGCTTGAAAAGAGAAGAGTTTAATTTTAATCGTCTTTTAACTGCTTGCATTACCGTAAAGCACAGGACTCTAGGGCTATCTTTTTTTGCCGGGGGGGGCGGTGTGACCGCAAACGATTCCCTTAATGCAGTTTTTGATATAGGGCCCAAATTAGCTCTAATAAAAAGGGATTATAAAGGCGGCTCTTAGGCCCAAATAAACTCCTCCTAGCTGTCAAGCCGGAGCCATTATCAAGAGGAAGCAGCGCTCTCATTTCAATTAACCTTGTTTGCACCCCACTACGTCCACGCAAATAACAATAACATTAATTCAAGGCGCTGGCGCGCCGCGGCCCCGGCTCGAGAGCTCCGAGCACGGCCGTGCGCTCCGGAGGCAGCGCCTAATGAAGCCGCGAGCTCGCCGGGAAACACCAAATTGCTCACGGCGGCCTTTGGCGGCTCTATTAGGGAGAAAAAACGCTGATTCGCATCCGATTGCCTCCAGGGAAAAAGCTGGCGGAGCTTCCCGGAGCGTGGCAGTGGATGGAGCGGGAGTCTGGGATGGAAAGGAGGCGGGTGTTGGGAGAGGGAAACGCTCTTCACTGGATCCCTGCCTGCAATGGATGAATCCACGCAGCTTTCCCGGGTAAAGACGAGGGTCTCCAATGAGACGGTCCATTTCTGCATCCCACACGGGAACCTGGAGTGTGACCAAGAATCAACTCACGGGACACTAATGCTTCCCAAGTCCACGGGAAAGCAAGCAGCAAGCAGTGGTTGTGTTGGCAACCTCAGCATTTCCTTGCCCACGAACCCATACAGTGAGTATGGATTGGAGACATGAGTTTCTATGAGTCCCCCAGGGAAGATCAGGTCTCATCCCAACCACATTTCAGCTCCTACATCCCTGGAGAAGACAAGGAACTGCTCCCAGCACAGAGACACTGCTCCAATTGCAGCCTTAACACACATATGGGATTAAAAGTCATTCCTGTTGTCTGTGGGGTCCTTTGTCATGGAGAAACATCTCTGCAAGGCCACCCAAAGCTCAATGCATCATGTCCTGGCCATGAGCTTGCAGCTGCACTTGGCCAACCTTACCTGGGCTTCAATCCTTAGGAACACAAGGCTACATCCAGCTGGAAATCCCAGTCCCTGAATGGGGATTAACTCGCTAAACTGTCAACTGAGAATCGCTCAATGAAAAACAACTAATTATTTTTCAATCCTCCCCTGTGTCATAAAAATCCAAGAGCCTCAAATACACTGAGCACAGCAAAAACAGTCCTTAACCCAATATACGTTCTTGATACTGCAAAAACCTTAACCCCAGGTGCTCTGAGTTCAAACATGCTGCTTAATATGGGTATTAATCCTGCATTAATATCCCACTTTGCTGCTCTGAATTGAAACTCCCACTTTGCTGCTCTCCCATTGAAAGCTCTGACTCCACAATGAGCCTCAACTCCTTGGCAAGCAAGCCACAAACTTGTCTTGCAACGCTGCTTGGTGATGATGTCCCTTACAGCCACCATAAACGCCACCCCTTCGGCTTCGTTCCGCTGGCAAGCTGGAAGAGGGAGCCATTTAGGAAGCCGTACCAACCTTCTCCTTGGAGACTTTGTGAGAAAAGGAGCAGGTCCCGTCTGTTTTCTTGCACGTGCCACGGAGAAACCTGCCAAAACACAGGAGGGGAGAGGGTTCAGTGGTAGAGTGAGGCTACTACGCACTGCAGTCCAATGCAACAGCCCATTACACAACACAAACTGATGCCTGTCTCTCCCCTCAGAAGAGCAGTTGGGGTCTCCTGAAGGACCTTGCTCTTTCTCAATGGATTGCTGCTTCCTCCAGCCCCTAACCATGATGTTCGGACAGGAGGTTCACAGATTCACAGATTCACAGAATATTTAAGGTTGGAAGGGACCTCTACAGATCATCTAGTCCAACCTTCCTGCTCAAGCAGGCACACCTACAGCATGTGGCATAGGGTGGCATCCAGGCGGGTTTTGAAGACCTCCAGAGTAGGAGACTCCACAACCTCCCTGGGCAGCCTGTTCCACTGCTCTGTCACCCTAACAGTAAAGAAGTTGCTCCTCACCTGGAGACGGAACTTCCTGTGCTCCAGCTTGTGGCCATTACCCCTCGGCCTATCGCTGGCCACCAGTGAAAACAGCTTGTCCCCTTCCTCCCTGCATTCTCCCTTCCTGAACTTATACATATTAATCATATCCCCTCTGAGCCGTCTCTTCTCCAGAGAAAACAGGCCCAGCTCACTCAGCCTCTCTTCATACGAGAGATGTTCCATTCCCTTAATCATCCGGGTTGCCCTCCTCTGGACCCTCTCCAGAAGCTCCACGTCCCTCCTATACTGGGGTGCCCAGAACTGCACACAGTACTCCAGGTGCGGCCTCACCAGAGCTGAGTAGAGCGGCAGAATCACCTCCCTTGACCTGCTGGCAACACTCCTCCTGAATGAGGTTCATGGGAGGAATGTCCTTCCTACAGACTGGATTACACAGGACACTCAATAAGGCTCAGGGAGGCCAGCTCTGGCTGAAGAGGAGGACCAGAGATGGTCCTCTTCAGAGACAGATTTGCCCACGGGTAATTTCGACTTGAAGGCACCTGGAAGGCATCTCGACTAAAGGTCTTCCAGGAGCTACCACAGTGAGCAGATATTCACATGCAGGCAGCATGGTTGGATGACAACTAGGCCAACAGGTCCTTGACATCTGGAGTAACCCTTCAAGACATCCACATGTGAGCAAAAAGGGACAGCTTCAAATGGTGCTGAGGTAGAAGATGATGGCAGAGATACAGAGAGGGAGTAACGCCACAAGGCACCAGGTTAAGATGACAAAAGACCAACAATGTCTTCCAATTCACAGAAGAGGGACAGGATGGAGATTCACAAGATCTGTGATCCCCACAAGCTGCACAGAACATCTAAACATGTGTTTTTAACTTGGAGTCTGGTTGTGCAATGCTTAATTGACACAAACAGCACTTTGTAGAAGTAAAATGCTGTGTAAATTCCCTTACTAGAAGAGATTAAATAGATCATGATTCTCCACGTTGGTGAGTTTGAATAGAGAAAGCAAGGGGACTATACAGAGTCATAAATGGTGCCAAGAAGATGGATAGGGAATGATTATTCCATACTTTTCACGAAACACAAATGAGAAGGTCCCAAGTACAATTGTCAAGCAGTAGGTGGAGGAAGCACTTTGCTTAATTCAGTTGGGCAACCTGCTGTCATAAACATGACAGGTTAAAGAAATGACTACACAATGGTTTGGTTGCAACTTCTAACAGTTGAAAACTCTACCAATCAACAGGGCTTCGTTGTCACAAGCTGAGAGGTTCTACCTAGGAGAAAGAGCCTTCTCTGAGAGCCTCGATACTTGGCCTGCTCCTCATGGCACCTTCCAAACCAACCAGTTAGACAGACCCTCGGCCTGGACAAGGACAGCAGGTCTTGTGTTCTGATGTGCTTGTTATTTGGATGTTTCCCTGGAGAATATCACATGAGCAAGCACCAAAGCCTATCAATATTCACAGCCTGGTCTGCTACCACAGGCCAAGGCACATGCTTACTGGTGTCCATCCATACCTCGTGCAGACAGCCACTTTCTCTGGATCATGGATGTAAGGGCAGCTGTCTCCACGATTACACTTGCCAAAGCGGTTGTAGTACATGCAATATTCCTTCTTCTTCTCTTTCTTCTGTTTGGCTTGACGAATGATGGCCAAACTCCGCTGAACAGCACGGCTAAAGGGAAGGAGACAGACAGGTTCAGGTGACATCTCCAACATCAACGCAGCAACCTAACTTGCACAATGACATAAAGAAAGGTGGGCAACAACACCTCAAATCAACGAAAAGGCCAAGTTCTACTTTAAAGACAGTGAAATTCAGGAAATTCTTATCAAGCCATAAGCTCTTACATCATTTTGATTTTGGGGCAAGTTTACCCTGAATCCTAAAAAACTGCAACACGTCACCCATCTCCCAGGATACATCTGTGCTTGGGACAAAACAGCCCTATGCAGCAGGACAAGCTGGGGCCAACTGCTTAGGAAGCACCACTGCAGCCAAAGACATGGGCATCCTGGGGGACAACAGGGTATCCAGGGGCCAGCCAGGTGTCCTTTCAAGCATCTTGGGCTAATTTAGCAGGAATATGGCCAGGATGATGAGGAAGGGAATTCTTGCCCTCCTTTTGGTACTTGTAGACCGTAACTGGACAACAGGTCCAGTTTGGGACTTCCAAGTGATGGGCAGCAACTGGCAAGGAGCAACTTCAATGGAACTTCAAGGAGCAACCACTGAGATGGTTGGGCTTTAGGCACAGGATGCCCAAGGTGAGGCCAGAGGTGTTTGGTTCAGCCAGGAAAACAGAAGGTAAAGGGGGATCTTACCACCCTCTGCAACTACTTAATGGGACAGTGTAGAGAAGGTGGCGCCCAACTCTTCTCAGAGGGACACCATTGAAGTGCATGAGCCACAGGGACAAGCTAGAGTGTAAGAAATCACCATGAAATGGAAGCAAAAAGTCTTTCCCACAAGGGTGGCCAGACACTGGAGCAGGTTGTCCAGAGAGGCTGTGGGACCTCCATCCCTGGAGATACACAACTTGACTGATCATGGCCCTGAGCAACTCACTCTAAGGGGTCTTGCTTGGTACAGCAGGCTGGGTAGAGACCCCTGGAGATGCCTTCCCACCTCCACAAATCTGACTCAATCCTACCATTTTAGGGGTATGGAAAGAGCTTCCTACAGTTTTCAGGAACACCGTGAAGCTGAAAACATCCTTTCCCTTGCTAGGATCAAAAGCACAGGATGACACCAAACAATTCAGAGGGCACTTCAGCGCCTGCCGCTGCCAGCTGGCCCATTGGGTTCCCTGGGGCTATTCAGGGGCTTCCAAGTGGGCACCTGCTTATCGACCTCGGTGAATGAGGGCCTGCATGGAGGAACATAGGGCAACATCAAACATCAGGCAAGCTCTCCATTAATCGCCCGGTACCGCTTGAAGTTACTTAAGGATATCCAAGTTGCTTAGTGCATATTTTCCATAAGCTGGCAGCTGAAGAAGTAATTACACAGGAGCTCTAGAGCTGCACGGGATGAGGAGGGAGAGGGGAGACGGTGAGATCTGGGCTGAGGGCACACGTTTGATCTGTCAGCGTGCCCATAATTACGCAGTACAGGAGGATCAATTCACTTTTGCAAAGGATATTGTGCTCTGGAGAGGGGCAAACAAAGCCCTTGCCTTCAGTTCTCTGGATTTTTGCATGTGTTGCTTCCTCAGAGACACAGACATACACAACATATACATACACATATGTATTTCCACTGTCTTAGGTCTCCTGGTGCCAGAATCACAGGCCCATGGGTCGCAACACATTTACCCATGATAAATGCCAGTTCAAGGAAACTATCTGGGGGGGAAGACACATTTTTAGCTCCAAAATGCCTGTCCACAATTGTCAAGTTAAAATGCAAGGAGAAAAAAATATCTTTATATAGCCAAAATATTAAATGTATAAGGCCCTCCTCAGCTTGCTCCCTACCTGAGCATCACAAGTGTCATCAGCTCTTTCATTAGAAGTCTTTTCTTCAACTATTCAGCGACTACAGAGCGGGGCTGGCAAGCTCTACCATAAATTACCTGTCGGTCCCCGTGGTGTTTCCGAGGCTAATACAAGCCAAGCCATTACAGAGGGATTTAAGAGAAGCAGGTTTCTTGGTTTAAATTATGATGTTCGGAGAGGGCTCTCCTGACTGCCAGGGCCCGGACCTCGTGGCTGCCCTGCCTGCCAAGCTCGCTAAGCGCTCCCAGCCTGGGCGCGACGGTAATTAATCCTGATGGCAAATTTTATAATAATTGTTCCTAAAGACCCACGAAACGTCAGGCCGGCTTTCCAGACGACCAAGCAAGGTCTGCCTGCAGAGTTAGAAAGAAGTAAGGACAGGGAAGGATATTATAAATCGTTTGGGCTTTGCTTATGGCAAATGGGAAAGTTATTCTCCAGTTATCACAAAGGATGACTATATTTTATACGAAGCACATGTTCCCGAGCTGAGGACATGTGACGGAATATGCAACAGGGCTCAGGGTTATTATTGAGATGTTCTTTGTCAGGAAGAGATACGATGAAATAGAGCTAGAACCTGGCATTCTCTATAGCCACATCTGGAACATCTGGTATAAGGACACCTCTGGAACAAACACACTGGGAGAACAGCAGCCAGAGCCCCCATTGGTGGTGACTGAAGTTTCCTACACCGTTACAAGCAGAGGCTGGTGTCTGGGATGCACAGACCTGGCAATGTAGCGGCTCGTGGCTGATCTGTTGAGGTAGCTGGATGGAGAGTAACCAGGACTGATGGGCGTAGAGGTCAACCTCGCTGGAAGAAAGAGGAGAAAAAAACCACAGACACGTTCACAACTCTTTGTTTTTATAGGAATTCGCAGGGAGAAGAAGGATGCTAAAAAGTTCAAACAAAACTCTCCTGAGCCCCAAGCACAGGTGGATTTTTAGCATTTTGCAGAACTTTCCTATCTCGGAATATGACAAAAATTCCATGTGCCACCAAACCTGCCCTCTGCCAACCTGTCCCAGCCGGGTTCCATCCCCTTTCAACACATTTTTGGGACAAAAGCAGTTTAGAAACTCCAGGATGTGCCACATCATCCAGTAAGTGTCAGTTGGTCCCACATCCACATATGCTAGGGCCACACAATGGCTATTGAAAGAAATGAAGAAAAATAACTTCACAGCAGTTATTGTCCTTGCTGAATGAGGCTGTGAAGTGAAATCACCTCATTTTGCTCCATGGTCCCAATCTGGTCCTCGGCAGCTCCTCGCAGGAGAAACTCGGCCACATCCCGCGCATCTGGCTAGGACTGGACCATTATTATCAGCTTATATCAAACAAAAACTACAACAACATACAACAAAGGATATCGGGAAATCTGTCTTATTATAAATAAACTAAAAACATTAAAAACCATCAAGTGCACCAAAAGTTTCCTGTGATGAACATAGGAAAAGAAACCCTGCAATGTCGCAAAACCAGTGGCCAGTTAAACAAGCCGTAACTGCATTTAGCCTTTGGCCACTCTGCAAGCTGTGAGTCTCATTTCTCCCCTGCATCCAGAAAAAGGAAACGGGGAGGGGGGGAAAAAAACAGACAGGGAAAAAATAAAAGCTGCTCAGGGAGAGCAGCGAGGAACTGCACATTAAGGGTTTTTTAAGCAATTGCACGCAGCAACGCGGCGGCAGGCTTGATGTTTTATATCTTGCAACAGGGGACAGGTGTTTTTCTCTCTCCTCTTTTTTTTTCCCCTCTCTTTTAAAATGATGTAGCTGCTCGGAGGTGCCTCATCCGTAAGGAAATACGTAGCCCATGCGAAAGGGGCTACATCACCCAGAGAAGCGCCCGCTGGACCCAGCCCAGCCGTGGTGCCGCTCTCCGCGGGGACGGGGAGCTGTCGTGTTCATTAACCGCATGATTACAGCGATGATTAATAGCGGGGCCTGCAGCCTGGCGCCTTTTATTTCCCCCCTCTCCTGCCTCCTCCGAATGCATCCGCGTTCAAGGCACTTTCTGTGCCGTGCATCCCACCGTGCCGCTCCAAACAGTTGCTCTCCGTCGCGGCGCCGATGCGGAGTTGCTTATCAAGGGGGAAAGGGCTCCGCGTCGCTGCTGATCCGAGCAGGATCGGGCACGTCGCTTTGCAAAGCAGGGCAGGACGCGGCACCCACGGGACCTTCCTGGCTTAATCCTACGGAGAAGCGACGCTCTGGCTTGCGCAGGACTCGCGTCTTGGCATGCTGGGGTGGATGCTCCACCAGCACCTGCTTCCTTGAAGCTTTCAAGAGCTTTCTCTGCACACCCTTGAAGTGACAGCATTAAATGCGACATCGCTTGGAGTCAGGAGCTGCGTTATTCACCACTGCCACCCCATGGCATTTGGGAATGTTTTAAGAGCAGCACAGTGTGGATAGCATTCCCATATGGATTGGGCCCAGAACGGGACCACATGGGACTTTCGGATGGAGTGCGCTGCAGAGATTTGTCTGGCTGAAGTCAAACAGAAGCCACCCAGTGTCCAGAGCGGTTCCGCTATCCCAAAGATCTGGTGTCTGGCGCTCTCAGAGAGCAGAAAAGGCATTTTTACCTCTTTTAAATGCACTTCGGGAAGTGCTTCAACACAGAGTGCTCTGCAAACGTGCCAAGACTTGTGCACGTGGGCAGCAGGCGGGAGTCTCACGTGCCGCCAGCCGCAGTTATCACAAAGCAAGATAAATGGGGGTACGCTGAGCCTGGCCTTGCAAAGTACGATGGATTACGGCAACAGCCAAAACGCAACACAAAAGCACTGGCACGCACCAGAAAAGGGAGATTGCTCATATTTAGAGGAACCACCTGAGATACCCCCAGCAAAACCCCATCCGTCGTGCTGCTGTCCCAGACAAAAACCCCGTTGTATCCACAGCTCAGCCCTCCTTCCAAAAACTGCATTTGGGACTAGTGTTTCTCCCCTTGGTCTTCTAGAACATAATTAAATGGATCTACTGAAAATCAAGCAGCAGCTGGAGTCATCAAGTCCATATCACCACAAGGCAGGACCACCTCTACCTATGTCCTCCTCAAGTGGGAGATCATGTCACCGTCCTTTACAAATCCCAATGTCATGGTTAAACCAATCAACTTCCTCCAGCTCTTCACAGAATCACAGAATCACTTCCTAATCCTCAATCTTCAAAACCTCTCCTCCAAGCATCAAACCCACATCTTGCCACCGCTCAAGACCATTACTTCTTGGCTGATCCACCTGGCTGTGCAGAAGACACCATTCCCTTCCTTTACTCAGTTATTTATGAATATGGAGGCAGTTTTCTGATCTTTAGATGGAGATCCTTCACTTTTCTAACCTCTTAAACCTTCTCACTGTGCTTCAGGTCCTTCAAACTGGCCTGTCCTTGTCCCAGAACCCACTTTCCAGAGTTGAAGCCAGGTCTTTCCACGCAGACTACAGCAGAACGGTCCCTGCTCGTATCTCAATCGTTTCATCCTCCCTTATACACCTCAGCAAGATGTTCACTGCCTTTGCTAGTTGCTGCTTCTGCACTAGATGATGCCCCGGAGAGACTGGTCCTCAACAATAGGACTACTCTTGACTTAGATGTTCCCCTTTGGTTTTGTGTTGCTGCCTGCTCCTGCCCTGAGGGCGTCATGTCGATCTCATCTCCATTAATGGGCTTCCTATTTTATCAGGCATTCTTTTCCCATTTCTTACGATTGTTTTGAATTAACACATCCCGTAACAGCAAGCAGCAGCTCTACAGGAGAGTCTCTAGAAGTACTTAGAAGTGCCTGATCCCACAAACAGGCATGAAGTGTTAAGAAGTTCAGACACTCTGGAAAATCCCACTGCTGGAAGCAAAGCTCTCGGAAATCCAGCATTGCTAACACCAGGCTTTGCATGGGGGCTACCTGGTCCTGAGCTCGCTTTATGGAGGGTTTTACCCAAGCCTTTGAAAAGTCAATTCCTTCTCCTAACGCAACAGCAAAGCCAAGGGTTAACAGCTTACAGGAAGGATTGTGGATGTCTGTGTAAGCCATATGGACACACCTCGACGTTGCTGAGCCTCCCTTAATGCTCTTGGGTGGGACATTACCTACAATTACCTGACATCACCATCACCAATAAAGCAAATATGGAGCAAAACATATGCGAGGCCCAGGCAGAAACTTAAAAAATTGTTCCAGGCACTGTTAAAACCAGCATCAGGTACAGCAGGAGTAGCCAACTTGCCTTCAACAGGCAGAACTTGGATTTACTTGAAGATGAACGTAAAAGCATCAGTATGACAATATTTGAGTCACCTGCAGAACGAGCCTCGGCTCTCACAGGTCAACAGGAAACGCGATCAGACCTTCAGAAGCTGTTTCAAACAGCCAAGGATTTAGCAAAGATCAAAAAAAAAAACAGAGATGGGAGTAAAATTAACTGCCACACTCTGAGTTAAGAAAACCTTAATTGTTAATTGAAGTAATTGCTTCTTAATGCAGAGCAGGACAAATACTCGGCGCTCACCTGCTCTGCCGGGGCTCTTGGTGCTCAGGTCCCTGCTCCGGCCAGGGGTGCTGAAGGTCTTGGAGAGCTTGTTGGCCGACACCCTGTACATGATGCCCCCGATGCAGCGCAAGCCTTTGCCCCGCCACCGCTGCTGCATCTGCGGTGACTTGCTGCTCGGCAGCAATGGGCGCATTTGGTTCAAGCCTGGCGACCTGCAAGGAAAGGGGAGACGGAGAGGAGGTCAGTGCTGAGCCCAGGAAGTGATCACGAGAGGTTGCAGCTTCACAGACAAACCCAAGGCTGTGAGAAACATCCAAACGGAGACTCCATGCTCAAAACTCCATACAAGATATGACACTGGATGATGGAGAAAGAGCTCTCCAGCATTACAGAAAGAAACTGGAGATGATCTTGCTCTGGACTGTGGAAAAGCTCCGATTCTCCACTTCTTCCAGATCTCACAGTCACAGATGTTGCCTTAGATCTCTACAGATGGTTCACGGGGGGTCCCATGAAGCCAAAACTCATTGAGGCAGCTCCAGGCCCATCAGCAAAGAAAGAAATGAGCATTGGTACCAGCACGGACAGGAGAAGCAAACAGGAATGTGGGGCAGTCCCTGAGCTTAGCAGAGCCCTGCCACCTTTGGGATGGCTGGAGCTACCTCCAACCCCAGCTCTTGGTTGTTGCCACTATGGCTTGAGACTGCTGCCATCTTCCATTTACCACCACGCACCCAATGCCTAGGATGGAGCTGGTAACATAAGTTGGATCAGAGGGCAACACCAAGGTCCCTTCTCTGCAAATTTGGTAGTGATGGAGAAATCTGAGAGAGGGGGGATCCAACCTCCTTGGGTGCCGACGCTGTTGAGACAACAGCGCCCTTCTAGCCAAAGCAGATCGCCTCCGCTATCGGGCGTCTTTGGCATTCAGCGCTAATCCAAACAGCAATTTGTTTATGCAAATTGAGAGCTCTAATTCTGCATTAGCACAAACTATGCCCATAATGCTATTAGCCCCACGTACATAAAGCGCGCATTACTGAAGAATATCTGTAAATTAAGGCCCGCTATCCTATCAGCAGGATGCAAGCCCTGGAGAGCATTGCCTTGCAATGAACGGGTGCTGCAAAGCAAAAGGGAATTGCACAACTTAATTTTATATTTTATGTTTTGTATTTTTATATTTTTCAGCACTTAACGTCACGGGTCCAGCAAGGGCTACCGAGTCTCGCCAAAACACCATCAACTGAAAAAAATCAGTGTTTATCCCGAAGGATCTACAGGTTCAGAGCGGGAGGATAAAAGCACCACCGAGGCCGTGAAAAAAGCCACGTTGAGTACCTAAAAATAATAAAAAGGCAGGTCAAATAAGTAATAAAGAAAAAAATATATACGTCAGTAGGTAAGTATGCTTGAGAAAGTGCCCGAGATCATCTGCATCTTCCGCAAGCTCCTGACGCAAGGGGAGGATCCAATTAATGAGCCACGAGCGGCCAGCCTTGCTGAACACGGCACCGGCGCCAGGTCCTCGTAATTCCTTCTCGGACACCGCGAGCTCCGCGCGCACTCGCAGAGCGCTGCCGGCCGGCCAGCCAGCCCGCTCCGGCAGGAAATTTCATTAACGCTGGAAAATAGGAAAGGTATTAAGCGTGGATAATGAAGGCCGGAGTGTGAACAGTGCCTTAAGATAGTCTTCTTTCTCGCCTTTGTAATGGGAGGCATGAACTTTCCCTTCAAATCCATCTCTAATCCATTTGAAATACTACAGCAAATTATCTCCCCTTCAGCCCGAGAGCGGCCAGCCAATTTACTCCGCGGAGCGGTGACAATGCGCCGGGATTTATCGCCATAACCTTGACGGCGCGAGGGTGAGGGTCAGCGTTCCCCTGGGTGGGCCAGGGAGGCCCCGTTTTCCCGTGGGGAAAAGAAAAAGAGGGAAGTTGGGAAACGGAGGGTGGGCAGACGCTGTCCGTGGTGCCGCGACATGGGCGGCCAAATCTCAGCGCGGCACTAAAAGCGCTAATAAAACGTTGGCTACCTCGAGCGCCGGGCTCTTCCACTTGGTGAAAAGGAAGCTTCACTCAAATCCCAGGACTTCCACTGCCTCCTCATGCAGATCTGGATGGAAGAGAAGAGGAGCTCCAGCAGCAGGGGAATTTCCAGGCCAAGGACTTGAGAAATGAGGTTGAGTAGAGTGAAAGACCTCAGTCAAGGTTCAGATTTGGTATCTGCAGGCAATGCACGTGCAGATGCCACTGGCTGTAGGTGTGAGGACATCTGGCCCAAAAAAGGTGCACACACACATCTGTACACATTTACACGCTGAGTATCACAGAGCCTGGTGTATGTAAATTAAACAGGAAACCATGAGAGCAAAATAGAAATCTCCCACCAGCTTCTTAGCCAGAGTAGAAAGGATTTCTTGGAGCTACAAGTGGTACCATCCTGTTGAAGGATGGGTTGCTTTTTTATGCTGGACGTGTCCTTTAAGCCAAGGTTGTTGGGGTGGGTGGCAGGATTTGGGCTCAAAAGTGCTCCTCAAGCCCACCAACAGCCTTCCATCTCCTGCAACCTCTCCCATCGCCAGTATGAGCTCCTCCAACAGCCACGCGTACACCCGTCTCCATAGGGGACATGAAACTGTCCCCTGGAAGCTGAAAAGGAACAAACCAAGTTTCTTCTTTCAACATCCAAATCTCAGTGATGCCACCAAAGGGGATCCGTTGGCTTGAAAAGCAGTGACCAACAATGACATCAACTGAGCTACCAACAATTCATCATTTTTACATATCGAATGATGAAATCTGTGCTTAAAGCTCAGCGTGGACTCCTGGGTGACCAGCACATCTCAGATAATCTAATAAATACTCTGAAAAACTCTCGTAGTTATGTTTGGGGGAATCTGTGTTGGCCTTCAAATGCAGCTTGGTGCTAATCTCGAGGTAAAAAAATGAGTCCTGGTCTCATTTACCATTTCCTAACCCCAGGAAAAGTTATGAAGCTCAAGAAGCATGTATTAAGTTATGTAACTGCCAAAATGAAAACACACCTCTGTAAGAAATTCCCCTCATTTGCAGAAGAAAAATAGTTACGAGCATATCACAACAGTTAGCAAGCAATGAGAACAAAGACTTGGCTTATAAAACAACTGGGGAACAAAGACATGGAATGAAATCAAACCCAATGGTTTAAATCAAGGGTTTCTCTCTTGGGGATTTAAATCATGATCAACCTCAGCAATATGAATCTGTGTCATCTGGGCCAGGACCACCGGGTGTCCTCAACAGCCCCAGCAAGAATGGAAAGAAGGGCCTTGGATGACTGGTGCCACCTCCAATGTCTGGCCACCTCCAAAGGGATGGAGACATGCAAAGCGGCAGCAGATCTACAGTCCCAAAACAAAGTTTTCAGGTACAGCAGGAGAGAAAAATACGAAGTCTGATGAAGGATGAACTAGAGAAGGTCAAGAAAAGGATGGGAGGACATGAGGGCTTGGGAAAGGGCATCTCCAGCTCCTGAAACACCAGGACTTGGGGCCTCAAACTGGCCAGCCTTTCAGCAGAAAGTCTTCTCTCACTAGCCATCGAACTCATGACTTTTCTAATTATTACTTTAGCTCTCCTGCATTCCCAGAGCTGGTTGCGATCATTTTCGGCATGGCAGACGTGAATCCTCCAGGTGACACACAAGCCAGGCTCGAATGCCCAGCGCTGTAAAGCCACCGGGCTCGCTTGCAAACACTACAACTTACCTTCCAAAAACAATATTTTCCTCCCCACATTTAGCTGCTTTCAGCTTTCTTCCCCGTATGCTCGTCTCCACTACCCTTCCCGGGACATCTAAACGGATTTCTTCATCTTCACAGTTCAACCCCTCGCTTAATCCTGCCATTAAAAATATCGCAGTCATTTTTACGGCTCCGCGTTACGTAACAAACATTTGATTATACCTGCAATGCAGGGCTGCTGCTCTTCTCCTTTCTTTTCTTGCTTTTTTTTTGTTTTGTGGTTTTCTCATCTTCCACATCCCACAAGCATGACACTTCCTCGCAGCCCTCGCCCGAGCTGAAGAACTTCCCCGCTCAAATAATTACACTCGGTGCGAGGCAGAAAAGGGAATAATCTCGCATTCTTCTCACGGCGCCTTCTCAAAGGATCTCTTACAGAGCAACCAAATCGCATCTCTGCCAGAAGGCTGGATGCTTCCAATTTACACTTGATTATTATTTTTTTTTTAAAAACAGCTGGACAAAAACCATCTCAGTGAGGAGAAGCTACTTGCTCAAGGTGAGACGCTCTTGCAAAAACAGCACTCCACGTCCTTTCCTTAGGGATTATAATGCCTGCTTCTGTACAGCTAAAATATGGATTCACACAGAACATTTTTTGCAGGTGTTTTGCCCAGAATACTCCTAGCCCCAGCCAGTGTTTTCAATCTAGGTCGCTTAGGTCAAGGCTTCAGTTCACTAGTCTGGCCTGGAAACACCCTTACTGTCTTTCATGCAATATTGATACCTGACAGATGAGGCTAAGTAGAGAGTGTGACACAAGCCAAGTTGGAGTGGAATATTTGCACTCCTGAAGTAATGACTAAAAAGCAGGTTAATTTGGGCAACTTTAGGGGGGTTTAAAGGTCTCTCTGCAGGTTTCAAACCTGTAACCCTGGCTGTTGTTGCCAATCCAAGGTTGAGTTCCCTTGTAGAGCTCAACTAAGCTTATCCAGTGGCCCATTTGTGAGCAAATCCCAGCTAGCACGTTACCTGCAAGCACTGTGCTGGCACCTTCCTGACAGCAAGCTCAGAAATTATATCAAAGATAAAAAAGGGAGCAAGCTGAAGAGATTTGAGGTGAGAACAGGAGAAAACGGTTGATACCAAAGCAAACAAGCACCCCAAGCTCTTACCATCCACTTGGACCGCTTTGAGACCAGCAGAAGGATCCAAAAGGGACAAGGCAAGACCACAACGCAACACGAGTCAGCAAGATTTGGGATCTCTGAGGTTTAACACCTATGTCTTGGAGGACAATGCGTTTGCCAGGTGATTATTGAACCCGTGGACTGCAAAGCCCTTGACAACAACCAAACGCAAAGCACCAGGAACCTTTCACAGATGTTTAGGTCTGTCACACGCCAACAGCATCAACCAAGTCAGATACCAGGACATGATTAGAGACACTCTCCCACCAGTAGTATTAGCTACAAAGACTCCGCC